TATATATGTATAAAATAATAAAAAATGTCTAATAAAAAAACTAATAAAACTAACAAAAACAGCTAAATTACTAAAATGTTGAACATGTAAAAATTAAAAAAGTAATATAAAAATATATAAAAATAAGTAAAAGTAAAATAAAATTCTAAATATACAGTAGTATCTCAATGGTACTAAAATAACACTGCTAACTAATAGATTGTTTATCTGAGATTTGTGGCTGTAATGCTTTATAAAATCTAATGGGTCACCAAAGTGCAGAATATTCATAGCAAAACCTATGAATCATGTGCAGTATTTTGAGGATGTAAGTGGCACTCAACGCAGGTTGAAGATTAATGGCATGTTTTAAGTTAAGTAATGTTAAGTGCAGAGCACAAAAGAAAGACACTTCGATTATTTGTGCACTCATTTTAAATGTATAAATCGCACAGATCTTTTACCAGTATTTGAAAATATTCAACAATGAGAGACAGAAGACGTTCAAATTAACAATGATCAGCACTACCGTAATGAATAGTGCAAATAACTGTAATCAAAACTTGTACAGAAACACCTGAGAAAAACGAAAAGAACGAGTCTTTCATGAACGTCCATAAAAATTAGAAAAGAGAAAGAGAGAGAAAACAGGAACAATTAATGACATGAATCACTCACATTCATCCTGTAAAGATTCATTCCACCACTACTGTCTGACGGCGTTGCTTCAGGAACAAAAACCTTCACATTCACAATCGATGCTTTGAGACGACAGGGCTGGGCGATAGCGCTAAAGAACGCAGGTGATTTCACATTTTCGGTGTTGATTTTGGGTGAAAATCTGCAGAACTGATTTAATCAATGCGTTATTCACAGCTGATTCGTTTTCATTTATATGCACCAGTATAACAGTACATGGTCAATATATTTACCTACAGATATTTCTACTAAAATTATATAAAAAAAGCACCAAATGGAGACTGGAGATTTTGAGTGAAGATGCAAATACATCTTTGTTTTGAATTGATTCATTTGAACTGATTCACAGAAATGAATCAAACTTAAATGCTGCTTTTGATACTGAAGAAGAATCATGAAAATAGTCTGATGATGCAATTTTTTTTAGGAAACTTAAAGAACAAATTAAAATAATTGTGTGATTCTCAATCTCCAGCATTTCTGAGAGAGGATGCAAAAGCATGTTTGTTTTGGAGCTCTGAACGGATTCTGAACTGATTCACGGAAGTGAATTAAACTTAAATGCTGTAAAAGAATCATGGAACTAGTCTTTTGGAAGCATAATGCAATGAAAAAAAAAAAAAGAGCACATTAAAATAATTATGTGATTCACAATATCCTGCATTTTTGAGTGATGATGCAAATCTTTGCTTTAGAGTTTTGAATCCATTCATTGAAATGGACAGTTTGAAGTGATTCATGCAAAGGAATCAAACTTACACGTTGTTTTTGATACTGAAGAAGAATCATGATAGGAATCTTAATGGACAAAAGAATAGAATTGTGAGATTCAGAATCTCAAGCATTTTTGAGCAATAATGCAAATGCATCTTTGTTTTAGAGACTTGAATTGATTCATTGATATGGACAGTCTGAAGAGATTCACAGAAATGAATCAAACTTAAATGCTGCTTTTGATACTGAAGAAGAATCATGAAAATAGTCTGATGATGCAATTTTTTTTAGGAAACTTATAGAACAAATTAAAATAATTGTGTGATTCTCAATCTCCAGCATTTCTGAGAGAGGATGCAAAAGCATGTTTGTTTAGGAGCTCTGAACGGATTCTGAACTGATTCACGGAAGTGAATTAAACTTAAATGCTGTAAAAGAATCATGGAACTAGTCTTTTGGAAGCATAATGCAATGAAAAAAAAAAAAAGAGCACATTAAAATAATTATGTGATTCACAATATCCTGCATTTTTGAGTGATGATGCAAATCTTTGCTTTAGAGTTTTGAATCCATTCATTGAAATGGACAGTTTGAAGTGATTCATGCAAAGGAATCAAACTTACACGTTGTTTTTGATACTGAAGAAGAATCATGATAGGAATCTTAATGGACAAAAGAATAGAATTGTGAGATTCAGAATCTCAAGCATTTTTGAGCAATAATGCAAATGCATCTTTGTTTTAGAGACTTGAATTGATTCATTGATATGGACAGTCTGAAGAGATTCACAGAAATGAATCAAACTTAAATGCCGTTTTTGATTCGGAAGAATCGTCATGAAACTACTCTGATGATGCAATCTTTATGAAACTTAATGAACAAATTACAAAAAGCGCATTAAAATAATTGTGCTTTACAATCACTGGAATTTTTGAGCAATGATGCAAATGCATCTTTGTTTTAGGATTTTTGAATCGATTCATTGAAACGGACAATCTGAAGTGATCCATGGTAATGAATCAAACATAAATGCCGTTTTTGATTAAACTACTCTGATGATGCAATCTCTTCTAGTTTGACTTAAAAAAAAAAAAAAAGTGCATTCAAATAATTGCGTGATTCAGAATCTCCTGCATTTTTAAAAGATGAAAAAATGCTGTTTGGTTTTAGGGTTTTGAATCGATTCATTAAAGCGCACAGTTTGAAGTGAGTTATGAAAATGGATCAAACTTAAATGCTTCATTATCAAACTAGTCTGACTTAAAAAACAACAAAACACATTTATATAATTTTTGATTCACAATCTCCAGCAAAATCATTGCAAAAATATAATGAATATTCAATATATAATCGCCCAGCCCTAGTGGCCATCCGGTGTCAGTGCAAGTGTGTGTTTTTCCACTCTCGTGATACTGGTCTTTGAAACATGGCATGTCGTGCACAACACCGAGGCTCACAATGCAGTTGAAGCATAAGAAAAAAAAATACAAGTTTAAGTTTAAAATCACGTAAAACAATCCTGCCCTGCCGATGACGTCATTCAACTTCCTGTTCAAACCAAAGGATTCTGTACAACACATTTGACGAAGGATCCTCCTGTCAGGTTTGTAAATACCTCAATCCTCGCTCTGCCTTGAAATAATAAAGAAAAAATCATAGCACAAAATTGGACTCGAAACTAGATAGAACAAAATATCACGGGTGGGGAGAGAAAACGAAATAAAGAAGACCGCAAACGCTTTGGCAGAAGAGACGGGGAAAGGAATACACAATGAAAGGATGAAAGAAAAGATAAATTACAGGTGAGCGCTGATTTTTCTAAAAAATGATGTCTGGATAATCAAGTAAAGTTGCTTCAGTCTAGTAAGTGTTCATCTTTAAATATCACTAACAATATCAAAGTTATTCTTACATTTACTTTATAAAAAAACAGCAGAAAGACACATGAAGCACGAGCTGAAGCTGGACGTTTGTACAATCACACTAAAAGAGCTTTTCCTTGATGAATGGCTTCGTAGGGATAAAAGAAGTAAAGGGAGTCGATGGAAGGTATTAAATGGCTCAGATAACATGAAACATGTGGGGTTTTTGTGCCTTTTGGATCTTGAAAGGAAGAAACGCCAAAAAGTACAATTAAAACAAATTCATCTTTTTATTTCATCTGGCTTTGATCATCCTGATTGTTCCTCCTGATGTTCTGCATTATGTGTAGAGCAGAATGCTACCGTGACTCATTATTAAACCTACAGATGCCAGATTCAGGAAGGTGCAGGAACAGGAACATGATAATGAACTTACTTGAGAGTCTCGGACAGGAAGAAGCTCTGCTGCATGTTGTCGTGACTGACTGTGGAGGCGTACACGTCTCTGATTCCTGAGAAACCCGCGTCTACACGACAGTGCTTCTCTAACGCCTGTGAAAACATTTCATCATAATGTTTAGAATTCTACTGTGCCAAGAAATAATATAGGTCATGTGACACTTCATTATACAGTACCAGTAATCTTACATCAGTAGTTCTCAACAGCAAAGTTATTACAAATAATATAAAGCAACTAACCATATAATCATGCATGGCTAGGATGATAAAACATGAGGAGAAAAGTCATTATAATTTTTCATACTTTTAAAATATTTAAATTTAATGCATTTTATGCATTTGGCAGACACTTTGACAGATTATCCAAAGCAACATTGCATTCCTACTTTTATTCATTGAGGATGCTTTAAATTGATCAAAAATGAAAGTAAAGATATTTATAATATTACAAATGATTCTCAATTTCAAATAAATGCTGTTCTTTTGAACTTTCTCTTCATCTGTGAATCCTGAAAAATCAAATGTATCACAGTTTCCACAAAAGCATGAAGCAGCACAACTGTTTTCAACATTGATAATAATCAGAAATGTTTCTTGAGCAGCAAATCAGCATATTAGAATGATTTCTGAAGATCACGTGACACTGAAGACTGGAGTAATGATGCTGAAAATACAGCTTTGATCACAGAAATAAATTACAGTTTACAATATATTCACATAGAAAACAGCTAATTTAAATTGTAAAAATATTTCACTATTTTACTGTTTTTACTGTATTTTTGATCAAATAATTGCAGCTTTGTTGAGCATACAAGACCACAAACCACAAAAAAATAAAACTAAATGCAACTAAATTCAGCTTTGATCACAGAAATAAATTACAGTTTACAATATATTCACATAGAAAACAGCGATTTTAGATTATGATAATATTTCACAATTTTACAGTTCAAAAAAAAAAAATACTTGAAGCAGAAGCGATCTGTTTGGTACAGTTTTTTGCTGGCAGAAGATACAAGCGTTTTGTGAGACATCCTTTAAAATAGGAGAGCTGCTATTTCTGTCACTTAAAAGTTAGCTAGAAGATTAACCACTAAATTTGAGCGCTGAATAAAAGAAGAGCTGACATGGCAAATTAATGATGTATTAACCTCAAACAAAGGTAGACACCTAGACTATAATTAGGACTGTCTCGTGAGTTTGGTTTGGAGATGTATTTGACAAATCCATTTGCGTTCTCCTCCACCTCCAGCAGCCAGTAATTAACATGTCAGTCTGTTGGAGGAGCGCAGCACTTTAACATTGGCTTTATTTTAATGTAAGAGCCACAGCCGAGCGTTCAGTTACCAGAGCTAATGTGAGGAAGAGCCGCGAAAAACACCAGAGATCCTCAACCGCACACTGCTTCATCAGATACACTGCAGAAACTTCCAGATCTGTCTGTCTGTCTGTCTGTCTGTCTGTCTGTCTGTCTGTCTGTCTATCTATCTATCTATCTATCAATCTATCTATCTATCTATCAATCTATCTATCAATCTATCTATCAATCTATCAATCTATCTATCTATCTATCTATCT